ATGTTGTCAGCCTCGCCTTTTTTAAAATTTAATAATTAGATTGGTTTTTTTGACAGTTTCATACAGGCATATGATATATTGATTTTAAAATTTACCATGAAACCATCAAAATCAAAATAATTGGTGCTAGCATGAAAATAAGCACACAGACAAGTAGAATCCACCGAGCCCACTGAGATAAAAGCCTGGGAAAAATGTCCTCATGTATATGACAAAGTGTTCAGTGGCAGAGACACCAAGATCATTTAGTGCAGGGAATACAGTGTTACTAAGGAAACCATCTGTACATATTTGAGAAAGTGAGACTGTGTTTATCCTACACAGAATGAACTCACAATGAGAAAGACCTACATGTGAACTATAACTGGGCGAGACTTAGGAGACAGCACAGGAGAAATCATCTTGACTCTACACTGTCTCTGTTTTCTTGAGTGCAAGACCCAGGCAACAAGAGATAATTAGTACTCATCAAAATTAAAAAGTTTTGTACAATGAATCTTATCAGCATAATGAAAAACCTACCCAAAGGAAGAGAGAAAGTATTTGAAGGATTGTCTCTGGTATACATAAAGGACATTCATAAATAAACAATACTTTTTGAAAATAGGTACAAAACTTGCTTATTTCTCCAAAGAATACATATTTGCTGGCTAGTTTCATGTCAGCCTGACAGAAACTACAGTCATGAGAGAAAGAACCTCAATTGAGAAAAAGTCTCCATAAGATTGGGCTGTAGTCAAACCTGTAGGGCATTTTCTTAATTAGTGACTTACCGGGGAGGGCCCAGCCCATTGTGGGTGGTGCCATCTCTGGGCTGGTGGTCCTGGGTTCTATAAGAAAGCAGACTGAGCAAGCCGTGATGAGCAGCCAGTAGGCAGCATCCTCCATGGCCTCTGCATCAGCTCCCTGTTTGAGGTTCTGTCCTGACTTTCTTCAGTGGTACGTAGCATTATAGACGTGTAAGCTAATTAAACCCTTTCCTCCCCAACTTGCTTTGATTATAATGTTTCATCCCAGCAAGTAGTAACCCTAATACAATACACAAGTGGCCAATAAGATATGATGATCTCTGGTATTTCAAAACCGTGTTATATAAACAATGGAAATAAATGCATCACAACGTACCAAGCATAAGAAATCGATAAACATAAATCAAAACCAGAAGCTGCTCTAACATGCTCAGAAAGCACCAGATTCTGGCAAGTATGTGGAGAAGCTGCAATTCTTGTACATTGTTACTGTAGTAACATATGTATTACATAGTCACTGTAGAAAATGGTGTCTTACAAACACAGTTTTACTGGGCCCCTACCATGGCTGAAGTGAGTAAAGGCGTTTGCCATCAAGTCCCTGTAATCTGCGTAGCGATTGGAAGCTGTCTCCCAAATGTTCCTCCGTCCTTCACCAGCATGCACACAGAGAAACTAAGTAAATAATGTTTAAGAAAGAACTTAACCAGTGACCCAGCAGTTCTGTTTCTGGATGAATGAGTTGAAAGCAGGAAGTGGGCTGTCATGGTGCACACCCAGCATCCAATACTTCTGGGTCCAACAATCTGACAGTAGGGTTGTTCTGGAGCCGAGGCTGTATAGTAAATCCCTGTCTTTAAATCAGTCAAACAAACAAAAGGTTGAAACAAAGAATTAGAACATATATATTTTCTATAACACACATACCATCATTCACCCTGTTCATGCAAACAGCATCTCATGGCTAACAGAAAAGCGGCCCTTGTGTGCCCAGCATCTGAATGCAGAAACAAAAAGCTGCCCTTGGAAGGAAGGGGTTCTGCACCAGCTACAGTATGGATGAATCTCATGTTAAATGAGAGAACCAATCACAGAGGGACACACACCAGCACATGAGAATTTTACATGCCTGTACTCAACATCCAGAATATGTTTGGGTTTGTATTCAGCACATTCATTGTTATTTTATCTGTGTGGAAACTGAAATATTTATACAGTATTCAAAGAACAGCCACAGTTTGAACTTATTTGCATGTTGCCATCTTCAGCAAGAACTCTTCTGCATCCTGAATTAAAAGCATGCTTATTAGAGATTGAAAAACTACAGCATAAGAAAGTACGACCTTTCTAGAAGGCTGCTCTTGAGCCTTTGTGTGCAGACAGTAGTCTGCAGGGGAGGCAGCCAGAGCCTGCATCATCAACTTTTCCTATAGCAGCTTCTTGTAAAAGAAATGTTAGTTTTAAGGTTAAAAGCCTCTTTTTCTAACTTATTTTCCAAGTATCCAGTATTTAATTTTTTCTGACATTTTCCTTTGAATGATGATTGTATGTATACACATGTATGTGAAAGCCGGAGGTTGATGTCAAGTATTGTATATGTTGTATATGTTCATGTGAGTGTGTGCACATGTATGTGTCTAAGTGTATGTGTCTAGGGACTAATTTTAGGATTCTTCCTCAGTCCCTGTCCTTATGTTTTAAGACAGGATCTCTCCTGAGCCTGCAGCACTCATTTGGCAAGGCTGGTTAGCCAAGGAGCGCCAGGGGTCCTCCTGTCTCTGTCTCCCCAGCGCTGGGATTACAGGTGCTTTCTGTCACATTTTTCATCTTTTGCATGGATGCTAGGGTTCCAAACTTAGGTCCTCATGTTTTCTTTGATAGTGTTAGGATGAAAATGAGGATACTAGCAATTATGAGCCCTGCATCCTGTAGTGGGAACATTTGGATGGGAAGTCTGCAGCTTCTGTTTCTTCTTCTTTAGAGAAATAATTCTGCATTGTTGGCGTTAGCGATTCACAGAAGGAATGCAGGTCTTGGTGTCAGTTCAGATGCTCCCCTAGTATTCTTTCTAAGGTGATGACATATTAACTGTGGAGCAGAGAAGTGCCCTTTGTGACTTGGGTATTTTAAACCCTTTTAGAAGAACATGGTCATTTCAGAACCCTGGCACCTGGCTTCTTTTGGAGAGTTTGCCCAGTTGGAACCATTTGTTGAGGATATTTTGGTTTGGCACCTCAAGACACATAAGAAACCTGTCAGTACCTAGAGGACTCCAGATCTCTTCTTTCAGCTTGTTTATCTGCCCCTTAGGTACAGGGAACAGTTGCTGTATTTCAATAGTCTTAAGGTTTTTCTGGATAGCAGTCACGTTGAAGTAGACAGCATCTGTATTAGAGACTGGAGGAGGCACAGCCTAGGAGTGCAAGCAAAGAGATGTCCTCACAAGCAGCCCCAGCTGCTGCGTCTGTCCTTCTGGATAACTACTCACGACTGCCTGTGCTGGTCAGACAGCTCACCAGATAGAATGCTTTTGTAAGGAGATAATGTACAATTCAAAATTCAAGCACTTTATTCTACTTCATATACCAGTTATACAAGCGTAAAAGATTATACTCCCTGTGAGACCACCCAGAAGGAAGTATCTCCATCCCTACAGTGTGCCAGGTGAGAGGACCACTGATGGCATAAGGCCATGTCCCATAAGGAAGAGCCACTTTTTACTTGATGCGTGAAAGTTGGCTGGCCACAAGTTTCTCAGAGAGCCAGACATCTCCAGAGTCTGAAACACAGACTGTGTCCTCAGCCTTCATTTCTGGATGAAATAAAGCTGATCCCAGCCGTCTTTAAAATCTCTTACTTGTCTTAGTTTAATACTCGGGTACTGACATGAGTAGCAGGCGCCTGTCTCAGAGGGACCTGGACTTGTACAATCGCACACTCACTCACAGTCACAGCTGAGTTTGAGAATGTGACTTTGCTGGAGGAAGCCACAAGAACACCATCAATTAAACAGATGTTTATTGAGTATACACACCAGGCTTCATATTTCTTTTTACTAATAACACTCCAGGTTTTTAGGTTGTTTATCTTAGGAAGAGAAATGCAGTTTGTTACTTTAAAAACTTCCACAGGAGGACTGAAGGGGGTGGGATGTCTTTTCTGAAGAAAAACCATTTTCCCTGAAAAAAAAAAAAAGCAAAAAACAAAACAAAAAGCTGATAATAAGGAAGCAGAAGTGAGAACATAGCATTCCCTCAGGTGACGGACATGCCACATACTTAGAATGGATTACTGGCGAGAAGTAATAAGATCTTGTAGCTGCTTCTACCCCCACCCCAGCTCCATGCTGGTGCTCACTGGCTCTGGAAAGGGCAAAGGCCCTGTAAGAGAAGCTCCTTATGCAAGGGGACAGTTTCTGCCAACACACTCTTCTGCTTCTCTTTTAAAAGATACGGGCTGTGGTAAGTTAGCATTGGTTTGGAGACAGAAGTGTGAGGTATGCAGTACATTGAAGGCCCTTGGGGATGACATGGTCTTCCTCTAAGAAGCTGCCAACAGCAGAAGGGGGTGGGTATGGTACAGGCCCATGCTCTGAAAGGCCAAACCCTACATGTGAATGAGCCAGGATTAGCACAACGTACCAAGAAATGTGTAAGTTGGGTTTTTTTTTGTTGTTGTTATTGTTGTTGTTTTGTTTTATTTTTGCCAAAAATAAGAATAGTTCTGAGTCCACTTGTTAGAGGAGTGGGGGACAACACTGCAGCCATACCAGTCCACCCTTGCTTAGTTCCCGCTGCCCTGCTCTAGAGATGAGGCTGATAACCTGCTGCATGGAGACTAAGCCTGTAATTCCCTCTGGATCTCAGGCACAATACTATATTTTTCTTTGTTTTATTTTTAGACTTATTTTTTATATTTTTAAGTTTTTTATACATTTTTAATGAAAATAGAATTGCATCACTAGCCCCTCCCTTTGCTCCCTCCAAACCCCTCCCATGACTCTCCCCCACTCTCAAATTGATAGACTCTTTTTCTTTATCCTTACTGCATATATGTATATGCATATGTATGTGTGTGGAAATATAGAAATACAACCTCTGAGTCTTTTGCATGAATGTGGTTGGGGCTGACCACTTTGTATTGGATAACCAGTAAGGATGCTGTTTGTACAATGAGGTCATTCCCTGGCAGTTCCAGTCCTCCTCCAGTCACTGATCTCATGGCCATGTCTCTCTCTGCCTTTCCCACCAGTTTACCTCAGTGTCCCCAGCAGTTCCTGAATTCTTGAAAACCCCTCTAACTGCGGACCAGCCTCCCACGAGGTCTACAGCTCCCATTCTCCCCACGAACACTGTGTCCTCAGCGAAGCCTGGCCCAGCACTGGTGAAGGTAGGTACCCAGAGCACAGCACTGCAGGGCTCCACTCCACTGTGGCTGTGCTCACAGACAAGCATGTCTTGAGTTCCCACAACCATGAAAATGAAAGTGTAATGCTTGCTGGGCTGGGTCAGCACATGGCCTGTTTGAAGTAAGCACTAGCTCTGCAGCACACAGGAGCATCTTCACGGCAGCCAGCTTTGGACTGGATGCACAAAGGAAGCTCTGTGGCGTGCAGAGGAGAGTGTGTGCAGGTCAGAGACTCTAGAGAGGCCTTGTATTTGAGTCCTTCCAGCCAAGCAGCTTGGCATGATCTCAACTATGCCTCTGGCTCCTGGCACTGTTTCAAATGTGCTTGGTTGAAATTATTTGGTTAGAATAAATCCCAAGGAAGAAGAAAAAACTTAAATATGCAGTATATTTTTAAAGTTCTTAAAATCCTATTTATAAATTCTAAATAAAATGATGGGAAAAAGCAATAAGAAATAGTCTAACCATCTCATTTGTGACTTTTCCTAAAACTGGAAGAGTTCGTGTCTCAAACCTTCTGAACTAAATAGGGCATTTATGTTAGTTAACCTCTTATCACCTTACAGAGGAGATTGACCCTCAAATAAGTTAAGAAGTGGCGTGGTTACTTATAAATATTTTTTAAATCCCCAGTTTGGGGATTCCTTCACTGATGCAATAAGCTAAATCAAGCCAAATTAATAAGACAGATTTAATAAACAGAGAAAAGCAACTCTCCGGGTAACTTTCAGAAAGGCCGGAGAGAACTCACGTGGCAGGTCTAGGACCAGGTCTTAGACACCTGAGGGCGTGGTTTTGAGCAGCTCCAGGGAAGGAACTGGCCCTTGGTGGGCTTTCTGAGGGGTGGAGTCTGGGACTGGAAGAGTGGGGCCAGGTACCCAGTCAAACATCCGGGCAGGGTTTGGAATGAGGGAGTGAGACCGAGGCAGAGATTACCAACATCCTAACCCTTTTGGATATATATGGATGCCAGTTCAAGTCTGGCTACTTCCTGTTGACGTTGACAAGGGACAATGGGGGGAGGATGGAGTTGATGGGCTCATGCTCAGCGGGAGGTGTGGGTGAAGAAGCATTTGGTTAGCTGCCATCCTGGAGACCTCAGGCATCTGTTCCTTGAGGAGGCAGAAAAGGCAGGTTGCTAGAAGAAAAACTAAATTATCACTGGCTTCATGAACAGGGCTAGCCATGGGAAGACTGATGGCTGCCAGAAGGGTTGCAGTGGAGATGTGTCCTGGTAGCACAAAAGAGACCAGGATGAGGGAGCAGACACGGGAGCAGGTGAGCCCTGCACTGGACATCTCAGAGAACCAGGTCCCAGTTGCTGGAAAGGTGCCCACTTGAGTCTGGAGAGGTGATACCAGCACTGATGTCTCAGGAGCTGGGGGGAGGGGTGGCATGCCAAATCAAGGAGTGATATGTTCTAGGAATACCTGAGCCATCATATCTGCTGTTCCCCTGGAGGTGGGGAACACCTCTATCCATCCTGTAATGGTGTCAACAGAATTAGGAGATAACGAAACTTTTTATGAGTAGGCGTGTGGGTGAAGTCAACCTGCCAATCCACACCCCGCTGGCGTCCTCAGAACTGGTGCAGGGACTGTCCTATCTGGAGGGCCCCCTGTGGGTTGGAGTTGGCATGTGTCAGGCAGGAGTGAACCTTGTCTTGACAAAGCAGGGAAATCAATTCCCCAGGAACCTGCAGGTATCTGTAAAATAACTGGAACAGAGTTATCTTAGCAAAAGGCTAGGGCTTTAGATTAAAAGATATGAACATTTTTCCTAGGGCCTGGTTTTAGCCCAGTGAAACACACCTTCAAGTCTATACTTTTAGAAGACAACCAGAGGAAATTTACTGAACAGAAGAGGTTGAGTGAGTGAAGGAGGAGAAGGGGCAGCTGAGGAGCAAGGGAAGAAAGAGGTGAACACACCTGCAGGCTTCCATACCGTCTTTAATGCTAGCTGGTGTTGCATAAGGAGCAGCGGGCTGTGTTCCCGCCTGGATCCCGGCTAGCTTACCCCCGAAATAATTACATGGAAACTGTATTCTTTCAAACACTGCCTGGCCCGTTATCTCCAGCCTCTTATTGGCTAACTCTCACATCTTAATTAACCCATTTCTAATAATCTGTGTAGCACCACGAGGTCGTGGCTTACCAGGAAGATTCTAACCCATGTCCATCTCGGAGAGAAAAGTCATGGTGTCTGCCTCATTGCCTTATTCCCAGCATTCTGTTCTGTCTATTCCGCCTACCTATGTTCTGACCTATCAGGCCAAGCAGTTTTCTTTATTAATTAACCAATGAAAGCAACCGATAGATAGAAGACCCTCCTACATCAAACTGGTCTCTAAAACCTGTGACCAGTAAAATCCACAGAAATTTAATGGCTCCTGAAAACTGTTTGTAGTCAGTGCTCTATTAGCTCATCAGAACTACCGTTATCAATACCAAGACTCTGAGCCTCCAAAGTTACATCTGAAACCTGTTTGTCTGATACCGTGAAGCCTGTGAACAAGGTACACCTATCTGTACTTTTAACAGGAAACTTAACTAATGAGCTACCAAAGTGGTTGTAGCCTTGGGGGTCAGGGGAAAGCTGTTAAACTGGTAAATCTATTCATACCCTAGTCACCAAACATCATTGGATCTAAAAAGGATAAATTTAAGCAGAAGTGAGACAGCTTTCCAGCTACCCCAAGCCCCTCCATGGCTGTCAAGGCAGTATCAGTATTCAGCTGCCAAGACCTGACAGACTTTTCTATGAAGTAGGAATTTGGGGAGACTGGCCTACCTTGTCTTGGCAAAGCAGGACAATCAATTCCCCACTGTTCTGCCCATCCACAGTCTAGACAGGGTCTTAGCAGCAATGAAGGTGCAAGGCAGTTTGTTGCTCAATGACTGCCATTACCGTACTTAAAGCAAGGCGCAGGTGGAGGTTTTTCTGTGGCCATCCAGCTTCCTTGGAGGAGGTAAAGGATGCTGCCAGGAGCTGGTGTGTCTCTAGCATGAGAAACTTGTTGTTGTTGTTGTTGTTGTTGTTGTTGTTGTTGTTGTTGTTGTTATTAAAATGCTGTATTCTCAGATCTCTGAAGCATTTGAGAATCAGAAACAAAATCTGGCTGCCAGAAAAATACATGGATGTATGGAGGTAAACCAGCAGTGTTTTAAATCCTATCTTCTCATAAACCTTGTTTTTAGGACAGGAATTATCATACAGAAATGTATCCTAACCTAAAATAACTTGAAGACCTAATGTCTCCTGGTGAACCCATTCCATGCGGTAAGATGGCAGAGAAGTCATATGACCTCCCTAATCTCTGTCCTTAGTCAAAATGGTGACTGCCCACATGTTATTTTCCAGAGCAGTTCCAATTTGGAGTGACCAGTTTTGTTTTGTTTTATTTTGGGGAGGGTTGTGATGTCCCAACCAACAGGACACGAATGGGGCGTCCCTGATAAGTCTGGAGGAGGAAGAGGAATGGAGGGGACAAGATGGCAGCAGGTCTGGCGTTCTGATCAAGCTGCCAACTTTATCACTCCTCAGGAGCTGTGACATAGCAAACAGGCAAAGGGTGGGGAGGGTGCTGGGTCTGGAGACTTCTCTGGCTGAAAGAAAGAGATAATAACTAACAGGAAATGCTAATTGCTTCTAAAGCCTGTGGCCGGCAGGTCTCACTAGGTTAATTTCCCAGGCCCGGAACTTGCCCTGCAAAGGTGAATATCTTAACTTGTGAACTTAAGATGGCTATAAACAAAATACAGGTCTCAAAATACAGGTCTTTGCTTCCAGCATTGTGGGGGTTTTTGTTTATTTGTTTATTTTTTGTCTTTTTGAGACAGGGTTTCTCTGTAGTTTTTGGAGCTTGTCCTGGAACTAGCTCTTGTAGACCAGACTGGCCTCAGACTCACAGAGATCCACCTGCCTCTGCCTCCCAAGTGCTGGGATTAAAGGCGTGCGCAACCACCACCCGGCTGGAGTTACAAATTTTAAGTTAACTTTTGTTACAGATTTTTTTTTAAATCATACATATTTTTCTAAGTTGTTTTCTTTATAAGGTAGAACAGCATAAAATAACTTTCTCTGTCATCACATCAGATTTAGCAAAGCCCAGAGGCAAATTTTAAGCCCAGGCAGCTAGTTGTAATAACAGCTGAGCTGTATAGCTAAGGCACAGAACACACAAACCCTGACATCCAGGACCAGTTAAAAACAAGCGTGTGGCCACACCATTCACACATTTCCATCTGTACATACAAAATAAATGGTACTCTTGAGCAAAAAGACAAGACTTCCTTGGGAACCAACCTAAAAATCCTAAAGTAAGAGTTTATAGTATAAAGCGGCACAGGATGCTTCTTGGCCATAAGGCGACAGCCATCAAGTAAGAGCAGAGAAGGAGACACTGCAGAGAAAATGGAAGAATGAGAGTAGCAGCGCAGGCCTGCCCAAGAGCGAAGAAAGCCCAGGTGAGCAAGCTGGGACAGCAGTGAGGATTTGGAAAGAGATTGTTAGGAGAGAGGAAGGTGTGCAAACAAACCGAACAGGGAAATGGGAGGGGCAGGAGCACAGCGCTTGTAAACCTGGATGAGGCGCATGGTGTGAGACAGCCCCGGTTCAGACGGATGTCATTGGAAACATAGCAAGTGTGTCTCGGATTGAACTTGGACCCAGAAGTATCTATTCACAAGCCTTTATCTGGAGACCAGAAGCAATGGCTAAATGTCCCTCAAGATAGTCTGGGACCAAACGGTAGGGGGTTGGGGTATCCCTGTGCTGAATATCTCCCAAACAGAGGAACTCCAAGGGACAGGGACTGTCCCTACTAAATGGGCCAGAGTTGCTTGGCAGGCAATCCAGAGGCCAGAAGAGGTCCCAGACCTCTTATAGGCATTTTGGTTTGGGAGTGGGTGGCTTACCAAGCAGTCGGTCAAAGTGAGATAGGAGGGAGAGCAACTTTCCCACATGTTCTCAGTAAAGACTCAACTCTACCTGGGTTCAAGATTTAACTTTTTGAAAATCCCTAGTTTGGAGGTTCCCCTGCTGATGTAATAAGTCAAATCAAACTAAATTAATAAGACCAGATTTGATAAACAGAGCAGAGCAACTCCCTGGTGACTCTCAGAAAGGCAGGAGAGAAGTCACGTGGCAGGGTCTAGACACTAGGTTTAAAATACCCTGTAGGTGTGGTCTTGAGCAGCTCCATTGCAACAGCTGGTCCTTGGTGGGCTTTCTGAGGGATGGGGTCTAGAATTGGAGGAGTTGGGCCCGGGTTCCTAGCCAAACATCTGGGCAGGGTTTGGAATGGGGGAGTGAGAACAGAGCAGAGATTGCCAGCAGTCCTCCAGCCTTTTTCTGCTCTGAAGGTGGCACCAGCACTCAGCTATAAGGCAAAGGCGCTGTTCAGATGAGCGTAGTCTTCTCTCAACCAAGGCTGTCTGAGGCAGTGGAACTCTTGACTTCAGAACATCTTTCCCCAGCATAGCACCAGAAGCAGGAATGTCAACAAAGTCTCCTCCTCCACATCCATCCCACCAGTATCTACCCCACATCACTCAATGGCCCATAAGGCCAGGATACCAGCCTGCCGTGTCGTCTCTCTCCTCGGCTTCCTAATATCTTCTTTTAGGGATGGTTTTTGACTCTGGGGAAGAAGTACCAGTGACAAATATACAGTCCCAGGAAAGGAAGAGGGAGGGATGCACCAAAGGCTCCTGTGGAAGAGGCACAAGGCTCCAGCAACCTTCACATTGTACAGATTCTTCCTTGTACATGTTGAAACTAGCTAACCAATTGATTATTAACTGGACTGTTGTTTCAATGGTGTGTAATAGCTCAGCAGGCTGAAAGGCAAGTTACAGCCTTGCTAGTTTTCCTGGGGTACAAGCTTCCACCACAGCCACCAGCTTCAAGTGTAGAATTGGGAAAAGATGCACATTGAGCTCTTGTGAGTCAGTCAGAGCAGCCTGTTCCCATGTGTTGTATGTATCATTGGTATAAAAGTCTGCTGTGGAACCATTCTTTGATGAAAGAAGAGTCCGTGCAGTCTTTAGCACCGGCAGAGGATGGTACCTTTTCCGTGAGCGTCCACGGGACCCTCCCTGTTGTGCTTTACACTGACAGGCATTCACATAGGAAGGATGTGCCTGAGAGCGTTAGCAACCTCGTTGTCTGCTCTCCATTCTTTGGTGTGGGGACAACTTGTCATTTTCTTATTCTTTGGTCATGAGGAAAAAGTTATATATGTAGTTTATTCACAAGATCTGTTCAGTTATTTGTCACTAAAACCTAGGAATGATGTCTTGTTTTCTCTAGGTTTTTTATTACTATTCTTTATTTTTAGACATATTTCATTTTTGTTTGTATGAGTATTTTGCCTGCATGTGTGTATGTGCATCATGTGAGTGCCTTGTGCCGAAAGAGCTCGAAAGATGCCCTGGAAATTGGAGTTCCTGATGGTTGTAAGTCAACACGTGGGTGCTGGAAATTAAACCCAGGTCCTCGGCAACAACAGCCAGTGTTCTGAAGAGCTGGGTCATCTCTCCAATCCACTCTTTTGTTTCATTTTGCTTTTTTGTTTTGTTATGGATTTTATTCTTTTTTTGAAAATAGATCTTTTTGTACAATATATTCTGATCACAGTTTCCCCTTCCCCAGCTCCTCCCAAGGGTTTCCTCATCTTCCCTCCTGTCGGGGTCTACACTAATTCTGTCTCTTGTTACAAAACAAATAGCATCTAAAGATAATAATAAAATAAGATAAACAACCTGAAATAGAATAAAACAAACAAGCTTTGTTCTCCCCTGAGAAGGTAAAGTTGTAGCATAAATACCAAAATGCAGAAAATGATCTGCTTATTTTGAAACCGAAAAGAACAACTGAAGAAAAAGTTGCCTGTCATTCATAAGATAGGAGAGACGTATGGTCTCACCCCATCTTAAAAATGAAAATTAAACATTTTCAGGTCTTTTTGAAATTTATATTAGCTGACATTTTGAATTCTATTACTTTCCTTAATGCTGCTTTACATAATGTATCTTATTCTCATTAGAAGGAAGCATTTATTTATTTTTACATAACCATACTCATACTGTTGTCTTCTCACTAGGAGATACTGTGTGTAAGTACTCAGTGTCTCTATGCAGGAAGCCCAGAGTAGATGTTGGTAGCATTTGCATAGGCAGTGACAGACTAAGCATCTTGGCCGTGCCAAGGGAGTAATGTAGAATGAGAATTTTTAAATCAAATTAAGTCTGCAAGCGTCTTCATGGTTCTTTGATTTGACTCAGGGACTTATATAGCCTAGGCTAGCCTCGGACTCCATAGGCAAGACTGACCTTGAACTCCTGATCCTCCTGTTCTTACCTCCTGAGTGCTGGGATTACAGGCCCAGGTCAGTGGCTCTCATGTATTCCTCCCCAAAGCCACTGAAGACCATCTAAGGCACATGGCCCTTTTTAAATTCTAAGTCTCTGAGGCACATTATAGAAACACTTTCATGAACTTACATCTTTTAAAAAGTTTTCCTTTTTATTTTTTTATTTCCTAAAAAAAAAAATAGCAAAGCCATCCTAAGAATCCAAATGACAAACACCGTAACAAAAAATGCAAAGATCCAAAACCCCGAGTGAAGAAGTTGAAGTACCACCAGTACATTCCACCAAACCAGAAGGGGGAGAAGAGTGAGCCACAGATGGACTCCAACTATGCCCGCCTGCTGCAGCAGCAGCAGCTCTTCTTGCAGCTGCAGATCCTGAGCCAGCAGCAGCAGCAGCAACAGCAGCAGCAGCAGCAACAGCAGCAGCACTACAACTACCAGACCATCCTGCCTGCACCCGTCAAGTAAGCCTGTGCTCAGGATTTGTGCTCCCAAAGTGAATGTGGTCTACCTTCTAGTCCAACATTTGTCCTCCAGTAGGCTCTGAGCTTTTCATGGCTATTCAGGAAAGATACACCCATTGTCAGTGTCAAATGAGAAAACATCAGGATGCACACCCACAGACGGTAAAGAGGCATGGGTATAAAGGCAGGAGTGGTCAGGGAAATTTTTATGGAAATTTCCGCATGGAGGGCTCTAGAAGGCTCTTCCAAACAGAGAGAGAGAGACAAGCTCTGGTAGAGGAAGGGCATGCAATAGTGGTGAGCAAAGCTGCCTGATGGGGACCGTGTGTGATTCCTGAGAAAGGTGAAAGGAAGGAAGTAGAATCCGTGCTGCAGGAGACTGTTCCTCTTGGCAGCTAGTGCCATATCTTAAGACAGTGGTGACCTGATAGGACCAAGTCATTAAAAGCAACAGCTGAATACTGATAATAAAGGAGACTCTGGAACTGCTCAGGGTCAAAAGGGCAGTGATGAGAGAGACAGCAGGTGACTCACAGAGAAGGTTTTACAGCCCAGTAGTAACAGAGAAGGTGACATTTCCATAGCTTGAAGCCCAGAGTTTGGGCCCAGAGGTGGCAACTTTGTACCCTCAACTCATTAATTTTATAACATTTTAGATATCAATCCCGATTTGGTTTTTCTGAAACTCAGCAAAAATCTCATTTCTCACTTCCCCCTAACCCAGCTCTGGAGAGCTGGGAAGGGCAGAGGAGCTTGTCATTGGGAAGATGTTGAGAGCAAACTATTTGGTATCACAGGGGATGATTTTCAGTTTTCTCCTCTTACGATAAAGATTAGACCATCTTGGGAAAGACATGCCTAAACCAGTATGGAGGTGGGGAAGTAATTTTGTAACATGTTATTTTTTAAGAACAAGCAAGCCCAAGTAAACTATTATGGTAGAATGAATCCAGGGAAGGCAACAGCTGGGTCATGACCCAAGCAACTGTCACCACTTTTTAGTTTTGTCTAAGACCTGAGCAGACACCCTGCACCACCACCTGCTCAGGCACCGTAATGACTGCAGTGGTGACTGTGGCTCCTGGCTGTTGACACCACCGTCAGCCCCGCTGCGGTTTACCAGGATTGGTCTTTTGACTCCATTCCAGTAAGGACACTGAGACTGAAAATTCCACACAGTGGCTTTTCCTGTGATGTCTGCCTGTGAATTATCCTTTTAAAAGAAACAGCCATGTACATAAAACTTTGTACAGTTTGTAAGGTTTATTATTTTTGTGTATGAGTGTTTTGCTTTCATGTATATATGTGTACCATGTGTGTGCCTAGTGCTGGAGGAGGTCAGAGGGAGCACCAGATCCCTTGGGACTGGAGTGGCAAGGCAGTTGTGAACTGCCATGTGGTTGCTTGAAATGGAACCCGGTCCTCTACAAGAGCAACCAGTGTTCTTAGTGCTGAGCCCACTCCGCAGCTCTGAATACAAATTGAACCAGCTTACCCCTTTAATTGGGAAGAGGACATCTAGGGCGGTTTCCCTCTCTTCCACAAGCTTCCCCAGCTAAACCACCATTTAACCATTTAACCACAGGAAGACTGAACTCAAGTTATGGCCAGGTCCCAGATCTGAAAAATGAGGATTTTGTTTTCCACACACTGCTAATCTTTACCAGAGATCTACCCCAGAACAAAACAGAACTGGAGCCAGGTCTGGTCAGGTGCTGCCATAATCCTAGCATGAGGTGGGGGGTAGAGCTGGAGGTTGTAAGTTCAAGTCTAGCTCAGGCCACATAGCAAGATTCCATCTCAAAAAACAAAAAGACAAAAACCCTGACGCTCTGCAATGGGGTTCTCCCCACCCCTGAGCCTCCTTGTTATTTACAGAGTAAGCCTGGGCTTCAGATAAGCCGCGTGTGACCTCGCAGCAGTTGAAGTTATGGAAGTTGTCAGAAGCCTAGAACCTCAGGTCTCTCACCTGTGATTTAGGTGAAAAGAAAATTCAGCTTTTAAAATAATAGAAGTTAAACAGTGACTCCTAAACACAGATCTGGAATCTCAGCCATAAAGGTAGCAGAAAGGATGACATTGGTGTTTACGTGCACACACGGGCACAGGTCAGAAGTCACTGTCAATCACTCTTCACCCTGATTTCTGAGGTAGTGTCTCATCAAACCCAGAGCTCACTGAGTTGGCCTATTAGCTTGGCTAACAAGCTTCAGGGACCTTTATACCTCCCCAGTGCAGCGATTAGACAGATACCTCTGTGCCTAGGTTTCCATGTAGGTGCTGGGACTCTGAACACAGGCCCTCAAGCTCGTGTGGTTCTTTACTAGCCAAGCCTTCTCTCTAGACCCATTAGTAATACTTCACCAAATAGGAAATAGAAAGTGGTTTGGGGTGGGCCATCAGGAAATAAAGCACAGTATAGCTGTTCTGGGGTTTTGGTGGTGGTGGTGGTGGTAGTGGGTTTTGTTTTTTTTTTTTTTGATTTGGGGGTTTTGTTGGGTTTTTTTTTTTGTTTTTTGTTTTTGTTCTTTGTTTTTTTGTTTTGACAGGGGTCAGGTGTTTGGTTTGGTTTGGTTTTCAAAAAAAGGGTTTCTGTGTGTGACAGCCCTGGCTGTCCTGGAACTCACTTTGTAGGTCAGGCTGGCCTTGAACTCACAGAGATCTGCCTGCTTCTGCCTCCTGAATGCCAGAATTAAAGGAGTGTGCCCGACTTCACAGTATAGCTGTTCATGGAGAGGTTGATTCAGAAAAATGTCCCAGAATGCTCCTTGTGGGGCCAATATTGAATAACAATAAAACCAAAAGCACCAGTTGAGTTCTTACAACTCTGAGGTGAGACTTTAAATTCTGTTTGAAAAAAGACATATATAAAACACTCAACATTTTTGCCTAGACCTCAAAAAACTTCATTTTCAAGACTAGGCATTTAACTGCAACCCACAGCAGGCAAGCTGTTGGAAGGCACGGGTGTAGATGTGCTAACTGGTAATGTCAGCATGCGGCCCTTACGCTTTCCTTCCAAGGGCTCCTTAGCCAACCCTAGTCCTTTCCCTTTTCTGTACTAAGCTTAGAGCCACCTTCTACATTTTCTCCACACTAACAGACAGTGGTACCTCTAGGAATTTGACTGGGGTAGAATGCATTTGATATTTCCATGATCCTGAGTCTTCTTCCCATATGTATCCGCAATGAATTCTCCTTGTAGGCTGCTAGATTGTTAATAGAGCAGCACCTGGAAGCAGCTTGTTGTGAACACTATCATTTCGCTTTCTTTTGAAGAAATGACAAGAACAGCAGTAGTAGCACGACTGTACCTGCAAGGAGGCCAGGACCTCTGCCTTCCAGCTTGGATGACTTAAAGGTAACAACTCTACCTCAAGCTTATTCACCCCTGAGTGAAAGACCAGTTTTGCCTGTCATATGCGTAGTTTTCCAGAGATGGACAAGAGTAGGAGTGTATTCTTTTTATTTCTATTGAGTTTTATCTTTCAAGTAACTGATAATTCTCATTTACTGCCACATGCCTTATCTGAGCACCGTGAAAACAGACCACTTCTGTGTAGCAATTCCTACAGTATTGACTGTTTTCAGACTTCTGTGCCTCCTCTGTAGACTTAAGTTTGTTATGGTGAGTACAGATGGAGAAATTCTAAGTTAATATGTCAGGTTCAGACGTCTCCTGGGAGTAGCAGCCCATCCATCCTTCTGGGGACAAGGGAGGGAGTTTTGCTGTTTATGCACAGGAGACTGTTGAGACCAAACATCTGATGTTGTCGAGGTCGGGGTTTTCTGTCCTGCCCGGTTCCCATAATCGTTAAGTCCCAAAGAAATCATACAGAGGTCTACTTTAGTTATAAACTGATTGGCCCATTAGCTCAGGCTTCTTATTAACTCTTATAACTTATATTAGCCCATTATTCTAGTATATGTCAGCCACATGGCTTCGTACCTTTTTTCAGTGAGGCAGTCACATCTTGCTTCTTCTGTGTCTGGGCCAGAGACTGCAGAGAAATGGGCTTCCTTCTTCCCAGAATTCTCCTGTTCTCATTGACCTACCTCTACTTCCTGTCTGGTTGTCCTGCCTATACTTCCTACCTGGCTACTGGCCAATCAGCGTTTATTTAAAATACAATTGACAGAATATAGACATTTGTCCCACACCAATCTGATTTTGCCTCCAGGTGTCAGAACTGAAGACAGAACTCAAACTGAGGGGTCTGCCAGTGTCAGGAACCAAACCCGACCTCATTGAACGCCTGAAACCCTACCAGGAAGTGAGCAGCAGTGGCCTTGCTGCTGGCAGTATTGTAACCGTGCCATCCACAGCTGTTGTCGCCAGTAACCCAGAGGTGACAGTGGCACTGCCAGTCACAACACTGCATAATGCCGTGACTAGCTCCGTGTCCACTTTCAAGGCAGACTTGCTGCCTGCTGGATCCAGCAACGTGGCCCATGTTGAAAGTGCCCATTCCCCTCTACCCATCTCACCATCGCCCTCTGAGCAGTCCAGTCTCAGTACCGAGGACACGAACATGACAGATACCTTCACCGAGATCATGAGCATGATGTCCCCTTCCCAGTTCCTGTGTGCCTCCCCCCTGAGGGTGGCAGGCCACGAGGACAGCCTGAGCCCTACAAGTAGCACCCTGTCAGCCCTAGAACTGGACGCTGCTGAGAAGGATCGCAAGCTTCAAGAGAAGGAGAAGCAGATTGAAGAGCTGAAGAGAAAACTGGAACAAGAACAGAAGCTTGTGGAGGTCCTCAAGATGCAGCTCGAGGTGGAAAAACGAGGGCAGCGACCACCAGACCCTCATCCCAGTGGCCCCTCACAGCCGCTTAGCACATCAGATCAGATACATGGCAGTGTCGGGTCCTCCTCCATCAAGGATGAGGCCTCGCTTCCTGACTGTTCCAGCCCCCAGCTTCCCATCTCCATGGGTAGCCAGACCCTTGTTGCCAAAAAGGCTGTGGTCATCAAACAGGAGGTCCCCATAGCTCAAGCAGAGCAGCAGAGTGTTGTCTCACAGTTCTACGTGAGTTCCCAAGGACAGCCACCTGCCCTTGTTACTCAGCCTCCAGCCTTACTGACCACACAGACCACTCAGCTGCTGTTGCCGGTGTCCATCCAGGGCTCAAATGTCACTTCAGTACAGCTTCCAGTAGGCAGCCTCCAGCTCCAGGTATGAAGTGTGTCTCAGTGTTGCTTTGCAGTGGGTGGGAGTGGTGCAGCCAGCTTGAACCGTTGAGCAGCTACTGCAGACTGTGGCTGTAGAAGGCATAGTGTGGGTGGGTAGGACGGGGCTAGCATGGCTAGCACTGTTTACATAATAAAAAGAAGCAGGGTGGCCTCCTGTTCTAGCCCTGTTCTCTTGGATGCACATGTCTGGCTGGAGAACTGCTCAGTAATTCAGAGCACATGCTATTCTCAAATAGGACCCAGGTTGAGTGCCTAGCACCCACATCAGGCAGGTCATAACTGTCTGTAACTCCAGTTCCAGGGTATCCTATGCCCTCTGATGTCCTTGGGCACATGCACACATGTGCACATAAACTCACAAAGGCACACAAACATACACATAAAAAGTAGATTTTATTTAAAAAAAAATTAATGACATTAGCATAGGCTGTGTGTTTTGAGTAGTTCACCCCCGTCCTGGTTCTGAGTCACAGCCCATTTTAGATAAAGAGCTGAGGACAGGTCTGGCTGCAGGGCCTGCTGGTGTCACCCAGATGTGGGCGTAAGGAAGACAAAGAGCCATTTGAGCCAGTGCTTCTTTACTTCACCTAATACCTGTGACAATAAGTTCACACCTGAGTTTAGGAGGCAGAGCACAGACACCTTTGGCAAGTGCAAAACAGTCTAACTCTCCTGCTTTGTCTGTAGAATACTTGAGTCAGAAGCCGATTCTCTAATGTATGTAATCTTGGGGGGAAATTGATCTAAACATTTTGTTAAAGTTGATACAAGAGCAGAGCCTGTTTTCTACTGGGCCTCTGTATGGCTATGTGCCCAGCATCTCTGGCTGTTCGCAGACTGTGCAAGCTTAAAGGAGGGTTGTGGGCAGTTGAGTATCACAGTGTTCCTTGGTGCTCTTAAATGGGCCACAGACCTGACTATTATGTGTAGAGCTGCCTTGTTTCTGTTTTCTCCCCATCTCCAGAGAAAGAGGAAAGAGAAAATGTTTCAGGACACAACATGTGTGCAGCACGGTATCACATGGCACCCAATTTATGATAGTTTTTTTTTTCTATTTCTATCAGTAAATAAACAAGTTTGAAAATAATTAACTGGGCAATGGTAGCTCACGCTTTTAATCCCAACACTCAGGAGGCAGAGGCAGATGGATCTCTGAGTTCAAAGCCAGCCTGGTCTACACAGCTAGTTCTAGGACAGCCTGGCTTCACAGAGAAACCCTGTCTGTGGGGAAAAAAACTGAGAAAATAATTGCCAAAGATGAGATGAACCAAAGTGTGTGACTAGTCATTTGTGTCATCTCATCTCAGCTGTGGCTCCCAGGCATCAGCTGCACTGCATCATAAGCTCCGTCCCAGATGTGCACTGCATCATAAGCTCCGTCGCAGATGTGCACTGCATTATAAACTCAGTCCCAGATGTGCACTGCATCATAAACTCCGTCCCAGATGTGCACTGCATTATAAACTCCATCCCAGATGTGCACTGCATCATAAGCTCCGTCGCAGATGTGCACTGCATCATAAACTCCGTCCCAGATGTGCACTGCATTATAAACTCCGTCCCAGATGTGCTTCTTGACACTAAGATTAGTCTTTGTTTTCTTTTTAGACACCAGCACAAGGAGAAGCCCAGGCTCAGCCTCAGATAGCCGCTGCCACACAGATTCCAGCAGCACCACTGGCCCCAGCGCTGCCTCAGAAGCAGGAGGCCTTCCCGCAGCATGTGCTGGGTCAGCCCCAACCAGTCAGAAAGGTACAGTGTTCTCAAGGACTGACCGCTGCTTCTCTTTTCTGTCACCTTTCCCCTGTCAGTGAGCATCATCCAAGAGCCTGTTCCTTGGGAGGCTGCAGTGATGCTCAGCCATGGAACAAACCCTAGGCCCAAAGCTACTCTGTCTGAGATTGGGGAAAATCTTTACCTAGTCCTTTTCCAAATAAGTTTCCAGAATATGTATTTATAAGTCTGCTAAACTAAATTAGTGAGTTTCAAGATACATTTCTTTTCTAATTAATTTCCTTGGGGAAAGATAGTTAAAGATACTTCAGGTATTTTTCAAGTAAGAATTTAATATGTGTGTATCTGGGAGTCTCTGTCCTGTCACGAAGGAAGAAGTGGAAGGATCACTTGTGGGGCACACACCAGTAACCCTATCACTGGGAAGACTGAGTCTACAGTGTGAGGCCAGCCTGCGCTACAATGCCAACCCTTCTCAGAAAACAAAGGAGAAAGGGATCTAACCTTGGGGCCTTAAAACAGATGTTTTTATCCTGGGTCTGAGTTCAGAGCTTCAGTCTTGAACAGATTATTAGGCATCCTGATCTGTATCCTGAACCGTGTGTGCCGAGACAGATTGTAGGTGAAACTGAGGGCCCACGTTATCAACAGCAACATTGACACGAGTGAGAAAGGAAATAGAATCATACATGACCAAGACGAGAAACCACAGAATACCCATTTAGTGTAGTATGTAAGCTTAAAGGAGGTTCAGCTTCATTTGACCTTAGGGAAGAGTGGTACAGACAGTATAAATAAGGGCTTCTCACTTCATCTCAGAATCCTGGAATTAGGAGTCATTACTTCCAAAAAGAGATGTTTTGCCACATGGGAGGAGACTTACAAATAGTAGGTGCATTTGGAAACAGGTATGTACACTCATGTACCCTCATGGCAGGAAGTACAGTACATCTCTAGAGAGATTCAATTCACAGCATCCACATGGCAAGTCACAGCTGACTATCACTCTAGTCCAAGGGGACCTGACACCTACTTCTCACCTTCATGGCACCAGGCATGCACGTGGTACATGCAGGCAAAATACTCATGCATATGAAATATAAATAAATGTAGCAAAAATAAAGACATATATCTACTCACAGTGACATAAGGAAGAAGCCACCTTCTTTAAGGATATTAGTGGTGTAAAGTACATTCATCATTTTGGCAGTTAAACCAAGCAGTGTAAGACACAGGTACTGAATAAGCAGTGTTGCTGTCAGTTTATAAAAGTCACCACACTAACGGCTCTTCATGGAGCTGCAGCAGACACTTCGGAGTTTCATGGAAACTAGTTTTCCCTTCGACCTCTCGACACAGGAAGCAGTTCTTTAGAAGGGGTGATACTTAAGGCGGGAGTGTGCAGTCCATGTGACGGGCATGTCAGTGGGAGGGGCTTCAGCAGCTCCAGGATTAGGACTAAAGAGCTAGGAAATGCAAAAGGGAGAGATCTGCAGGCAGCTTCAGAAACAGAACAGAAGACTGTATTAGGTGCCAGCACCCTCTGAGCTGGAGCAGTGTGAGGTGTCCAGAGAGATGGCATATTTGGGTGTGTCCTGGAAGGGGACCACGTCACCCCAGGAAAACTGCCTGAACACCCTTCTGTAAAATGCTGGCTGCACAGCTCAGCAGAGGAGCCCCACTCTACCTGTGTCTGCAGATGCAGTCCTGTTGGTAGCTCCCAGGAGACACCGTGACCCACAAACTGCTCTAAAATGGTTTTCTTTCCTTCATTGTCACAGGTCTTCACCAACTCTGCACCAAACACAGTTCTTCAGTATCAGAGGCCACCTGGCCCAACGACCCAGCAGCCCTTTGTCATCAAAAGCTCCAACCCTGTTCTTCAGTCCAGAAGCACCCCACTTGCACCCCTGCAAAACGGCCCTAGCCCAGCCAGCAAGGTAAGCATCTACAGTACTTACTGGCCATACAGTCATGCTGACATCTGGAGTGTGTGCTGACTTAGTGTTGGAGTTAAGGGAGTGAACCTAGGACTGACAGTGACTTGCATCTCTGGTCAGTGAAGAGGAGCCCTTCCACAAGACAGCCACCGTCAGCTGCCGCGGTGCTTAGGACACCTGCCCATGAGGTGACCGAGCCACTGTAGGGCAGGCGGGGTCCACAGCTAACAAGTATTTTTCCTTTGTTCGATGCAGCCAAGCTCACCCTCGCCAGTCCAGCAGTTTGTCGTCCAGCACTCTTTGTTTGGGACCCCAGTCACCAAGACAAAAGACCCACCTCGCTATGAAGAGGCCATCAAACAGACACGCAGCGCCCAGCCAGCCCTTCCAGAGGTGAGTGAGGGCACAGTCATATCCCAGTCTCATTTCGGGTCATCCTCTCGAGAATTTCCCCAGTTAGAACTCAGAGATTCTAGCTGGGAGTTTTATATTTCGGCTGGCTGTTTTGAATTGGCATGTGAAGAATCCCAAGCCACTTGGCTACAGTAACTGTTGTGATCAACAGTCACAGTGTGGCCTCAGGCAAGGTGTTTATGTCTCTCTCCTTGGAGCCCTCCTGGGTCCCCTCTAACATGGAAGTAGCGGTGATTGTGCCCCTTAGTGAACAGAGTGAGAGCTCTCAATTAGAAAAGGCCTTTGGTGGATGCCCAGTGACCACAGCACTGATTGACTAACATAAACACATTCGAGCCCCTGCCTTTCAAAAGCTCCCTTTCAGAACTGAGAAAGGAGCCCAGCATCCCAGAGGACCTGAGGGGTAGACTTGACAGCAAGAGTTCCCAGCAGCTAGCAAGAACATGAGCACACATGCACAACCCATGGCCATACTCTGTGGAGTACTTGTCAGGGACACACGGCAAGGCCGTACTTTTTCTAGCGAGCATCAAACAAGTGAGCCCCCTTAACTAGGGTGCAGGCACTTGGTCACTGCCTGTGAGGAAATGCTCAGTGACCACAAGATGCAGAGCAAAGACAACTTTCCTAGTTGTCAAACTTCCCAGACTCAACAGAGACCTTAGCTATGAAGGGGGAAAAAAAAGTTTAAACACTGCTTTAAGAGTCTAAACAAATGGATCTTGGCCTGCCCTTCTCTACAGTCCATTTGAAAATAGCATCTCCCAGGAACAGAAGTGAACTGCCAAATGATTTTAATGGCGGTGAGAAGGCAGCACTAGGCCACCAAACACGATTCTCATGTGCAGGCCCCTGGCAGTGCCCACCTGATGCATGCACCAGCAGAAGAAGCCAGCAGGAATTCTGGGGCTCACGTGTCACTGGGTACAGCTCTAGGCTGCAGACACCAGTTGTGCATCAGCACCACTAAGTCCCTCTGGAAATCTTGAGGCTCCAGCAGGTCCTGAGTGGGGTCCTGCTGGCTCCATCTTCCCACAGTAACAGCTAGCACAGAACTGAGGCAGAGACTCAGTTCCTCAGCTCTCTGGTGGAGAGTCCATACTCAGTTCTTAGTGAGGAGGGATCAGAGACTACCACCTGGGTTCTGTATCAAGTGAGAGTGTTAGAGGACCCTCAGGGCAGAGGCTGCCCCTGGTGAAAACTGCTCACTCTGCTTTCCTTGACTGCAGGTTTCCAATGCGCACAGTCAACAGATGGATGACCTCTTCGACATCCTCATAAAGAGTGGAGGTAGGTCAAGAGCTGGACGTGAGCCTGTGGCCTCACCACTGGCCAGGACAGTCCTTCTCTAAAGACTGAGGATGTCTTGGAAACTGAGGAATGAACTGTTCTAAACCTAAGTTAGGTCATTAAAACACATGACAGAGGAAATGTCTCTGGTTCCACATCAAAAACTGGCATGATGTCCTGGCCACAGCCATTACCTAGCAAAAAGGAAAGATTCACAAGCAGCAGAGCTGGGCCAGCTCTGAGCTCATGCAAAACTGTAAAACCTGCCTGTGCACCAGTCTTGCTGTGTGCTGAGGACACTCCGGCTACCTGGCCTGGGCTCCCTCAGCTGTTCTGTTAAAACTCAGAACACTCTTACACATAAGAAGTCAGAAGGGCTACTGAGGTAACTCACAGGAAGGACGCTTGCTGCCAACCTTAATGACCCAGGTTTGATACCCAGGATCCACATGGTGGAAGAAGAGAACTAACCACCACAGGATGTTCTCTGACTTCACATACATGCTGTAGTGGCCTGCACACATAAAATAATAAAGTGGAGGGAGAAATTAAAGTAAGTCATCAGTTTAGTCTTTAAACCTCACATTAACCACAGGAAAAATCTGCCTCGGCTCATGTGTCCTTAAAAATAAGCATAGAATTGGTTTTCCAGAAACTTTTGAGGGTGCTTGTAACCCAGTGGCAGAGCACTACAATACAAATGTGAGGTGTAATCTTTTATCCCAGGCTATACACGCACACATATGTACACACACGTGTGCACAGGCCAGAAGTCCTCTAAGGAAAGCAGTCTTCTATGAAGTTGTACATCTGATTGCTGTTTCTCCATCTGTATGGAACATCATCTGACCAGAGGCTGATGTTCTGGTCAAGCACTAGGCTAGTGAAGGACTCTTGCATCTGCATATGGGTCGCATGCTTAAGTGGAAGTGGATTGGTCTTTCAAAAACACATTAAATTTAAAACATAGGGGTTTTAAAATGAAATATCTATTTTAAAATCAGGGCATTCAATTTTTGCTCAGTCTTGTAGAGATAAAATTTTTTTCAATGATTGATAATAATTTTTAGGGGACCAAAGAGATGGTTCTGTGACTGCTCTTCCTGTGGATTCAATGTCAATTTCCAGACCCACGGGGTGGCTCACAAACAGCCTAGCTCCAGTCCCTGGTGATTCAGCGCCCTCTTCTGGCCTCCATGAGCTCTGCACATACAGCACAGACAAAACTCCTAGACACACTTGACCTGAGTTCATTAAACCTCTCCCCTCGTGTATTTTCAGAAAAGTGAGATAGAATCAAACGTGGTGAAGCTCACATTTAATCCGAGTACTCAACAGGCAGAGGCAGGCATACCTTTCCAAGTTCCAGGCCAGATCAGCCAGGGCTACACATAATGAGAACCTATCTCAAAAGCAGTGAAAGACGTTATTAAACGTCGTCTCAGTGAGCACTCCTGTATAACAGAGGAATCACCACATGACCGGGTAGGGAGATGGCTCCATCAGTGTGTGCTAGCAATTCTGAGTTTGGTTCCTCCAGAACCCACAAAGAAAAGAAAAAAAAATGAGCTGGCATTTGGTGGTTCCTGCCTTTAGCCAACACATGGGAGGCAGAAGCCGGTGGATCTCTGATTTCAAGGCCAGCCTGGTGTATAAAGCAATTTCGAGGATGGCCAGGGCTATGCTGAGAAACCCTACCTAAAAACAAAAACAAAGTAGACACAGTATGCCTCTAGTCGTGGTGTTGGGGTCCTTTGGGCTTGTTGCTCAGAGCCCGACAGGTGAGCTCTAGGTTCAGTGAAAGATCCTGTCTCAAAAACCAGGATAGAGTTAAATTTAAGGAAGACATCTGACATCAATTTCTGGCTTACACACAGGGAGAGTGGGGCCACCCAAAAGTAAAGGAGTGGGGACTAGAAAGATAGTCCAACACTTAAGAGCACTCGCTCCCTGCTCTTGAAGAAGGCTGGAATTTTGTTCTCAGCACCCATGTTGGGTGGCTCTCAAGTGCCTATAACCCCAGCTCAGGGGATCAGACACCCTCTTCTGACCTTCTTGGGTACTTGCACACAGGAACACATTCACACACATGTACATGTAAGTAAAAAGTAAATATTTAAGAATAAATTAAATAAATTATTGGTGCTTATTGAGGCATTTGCCTAATCCTCCAGAATTAATATAACTCAGAAAAGAACAAGAACTCAGAGCAGCAGCTGACCTGCCTCACGTTAAGGAGGACGAAAGAGCCAGCGTCAGCCGTGCACCTTAGGTTACTGTATCCTTTGGGAACTCTGACACCAAACCTGAGGGCAGTTCAACAGTAATGACTAAAAAGAGAGTTGAATAGAGCATGGTATTTCTGCTTCTAAGACTTGAGAATGGGTGAGGAGGTCGTCACTAATGTGAAGTATGACGGCAGTGTGTCCGTACTAACACCATCAATTCTTCTGCACAGAGATTTCCTTCCCTGTAAAAGAAGAGCCTTCTCCAATTTCCAAGATGAGGCCAGTGACAGCCAGCATCACTACAATGCCAGTCAACACAGTGGTCTCTCGACCACCACCCCAGGTCCAGATAGCACCACCTGTCTCCTTAGAGCCTATGAACAGTATATCTACCAGCTTAGAGAACCAGCTAGAAGCCTTCTTGGATGGAACTTTACCCTCGACCAATGACATTGCTCCACTGCCGAGCAGCAGCGAAGACAGAGAGCCATTCTCTCTGATAGAAGATCTCCAGAATGACTTGCTGAGTCACTCCAGCATGCTGTACCACTCTCAGTCTCCCATGGAGACCTCTGAGGCCCAGCTTGTGGCAGGGACCCCCTGTCTGTCTCTCGACCTGTCAGACTCCAACCTGGACAACATGGAGTGGCTGGACATCACCATGCCCACCGCATCCTCCGGGCTCACGCCTTTGAGCACCACTGCACCAAGCATGTTCTCTGCTGATTTTCTGGACTCACAGGACCTGCCACTCCCATGGGACTAAGGTCATAGGTCACTTGTCTCAGAGTCGTGAGGTTCCAAAACATGAAAACAATCTTGAAGGGTCAGTGCTTAGAGCTATAGCCATAGCTGCACTGTCACAATTAAAATATATTGTCGTAGAAAAAAAGGACAGCCATAGCCTGGAAGCCAAGTGTGAGAGCACCTCATCCATCTAGCAGTGACTCCACAACTTACAGAGGCAGGCCTGTCGCATGCAAGAGGCCTTGTGAGATGCCTTAGATAAAGCCAAAGGTCGGAAGCCGCCCACAGGAAGTGGCCCTGGCGCTCTGGTCATCAGCCACCTTTCAACTTCTGGGGTCATCTCACGACCCTAATAAGAGGCAAGCAGCTCCATTTGGACCACAAGGGAGGGGAGAAGCTACTGCACATGCCCTCCCTAGAGCCCTAAGCTGGGTCTGTAGCCAGGGCAGAGGTGTTTGAGACTCCGAGTTCCACTCTGACACTTGTGGAACTGTATGATGTCATAGGTCATTTTTTGAGTTTGGGAATCTCAGTGAACAGCCTCTCACCATAAGCATGTGTCTGCAAAATACTGTCACACAAGAACCCGGTGTCCAGAGTCCAGATGTGTTAGTAGTGCTACGGTTTTCCCAGTGGCCTCAGGCGGCTGAGCTTGGTTCTCATGTGATGTTAGACATTTGAATATGCCCTGACCTTGTAACCTCTACAGCCTGCAATAGAGTAGAAAGATGGCCGTCCACTGGTCCTGCTTGTTGTAATAACTCAGATATCTCTAGATTACCTGAGCCACAGTATCTCCATCTTTGAAGACTTGCCGACAGACTCTCAGGTGACCGTACCCATCTCAAAGAACCAAAAAAGGCTTCAACATGAAATTCCTTTTTGAGCTACTGAGTTAGAAGAAGGGAACATGTGGAGTGTGTCAGACTCCGAGACAGTCCCACCTTGAGCACAGGTTAGACCCTCCCATCACTAGATTCCCTGGTTCTCATGCATAGGCTTGTAACCGAATGCCCTGCCTGCTCTCAGTGTGTTCTCAAGCCTACACCTAAAAACTGGAGGTTTTATTTTTTTTCTCTTGATCTATAAAGGAAAAGTTATGTTTGTTGAGTAATTTAAGAATTTCTAAAATGCCAACTGCCACAGGATTTCCACAACTCTTGATCTTGTCATTTAGTTATTGGCAAATTGTAAATAACTGAGCAGAGCATGGGATTCCTGCTTCACAGCAGCCTTACCCTGGTCCCTCCCACCCTCCACCTAAGCCAGGTGGGCTCCCTCCACACAGCCTCTCCCACGGGCACCTCCGGGAAGTGGCCTGGCCCATTGCCGAGACAGAACCGGAATCATCTTTGAGGAGATTCTGCCCCAAAGTAATCTTAGTTCCAGTCTGTACCTGTTTAATCCCGCTCTGTGTCAAAATGGTCTCTGTTCCCAGCTTTAGCGTCTGAGCAGCTCCCCTCACCTAAAGTTTGGCTTGCTGGTGGCCAGGGGCCACTGAGCTCAGAGAGTCCTCTTGTTTAGGAACTGTTTAGTCACTCTCATAGGACATGTGCAGCCAAGTTGGTTCTGCTAGACAGCCGCTTGTGTCTTGGCCCCAGCTGTGTACCTGGGCAGAAACTTTCCACATGAGAATTTCAGCTCTAGGTTTTGGAGAGTTTTAGTCTTCTTTCTCCAGCTTTGGGTGTCCAGTTAATTAGTACCAAGTATCAGTGAGCATGTGAGAAACTGCTAAATGCTAGTACATTTCCTCCTATAGAAAAATTCTGTAATTCTGAGTCGTGAATAGAGACAGCATTCTAGCCCTCAAGTCCCTTGCGCTATTCTTCTAAGTTGGTTTGAAGCTGGCCACAAGAAAGTCATTCTCCAAACACAGTTGAGTACAGAGAAAGCCATCTCAGTTGTTCATGTACCCATCCTGCCCACTAGGGTCCCATTTCTTAAAACACCAAGGGGCCTCCAGCTACCAACTTCACTTGCAGCCAACTCACCTACAACATTCCTTGCCCTGCTCTCCTGGTTCGAGCATCTAGTAGGTACTTAAGACGCCAGTGACTTGAGAGTACTTGCTAGGCCTTTCCAGCATGCTCTGGGTGAGAGTGGGCATCTTTCCCATGTGCTCACTTAAATGCGTCATGACCAAAGACCACTCTACAGAAAAGCCTCCTGACCTAACTCTAGCCCTCGGCGAGTGTGTTGAAAAAGGTGTGTGTCTGAAGATGACGTTGTTATTTAAAACTGATGCAAGATGACTCCATAGGTAGGGCTGGGGGGCTACCAACAGGCCTGAGGGGCTGAGCCTGAGCCCCAGAATCCATCTGATGGAAGGACAGAACTGGCTCCCACAAGTTGCCCTCTAACCTCCACACACAGACACACCTGCAAATAGATGTTATTTCACAGCCATTAGGTCAGAGATCCCGTTAGATTCCCACTGTGCATGTACCAGTGTTTGTACCACATTACTAAGGAAATCCCTCCTGGGAGCTTGTAGTGTCCAATCAGCTTGACTTTGTAAGGTATAGATTTCCCAGCCATTTTACTAGGATGGGATGAGTGGATTCTAGAAAGCTGATGTGGCTGGGGCTCTTGGAACCCTCCCAGGGCTGCACCAATGTTCACCCAGGCATCTTACAGAGGTGAGCACATGGAGATGCCCTGAATTTATTGAACTTTTCGCTCAAATACCATATGTGTTTGTTACACACAAATATTTTCTAAGATTTTACTAAAACCTTTTCAAAAGCTCCATGGTTCTCTGACCACATGCTATGCCTTGCTGGTGTGAGTACTCCAAAAAGCCAGGAAAGCTCTGTAGAGACAAGGAAATGGGTTCTCAGCCCACATGCACCGTCAGCTGACCCAGAGGAGCTGGTGAGATCAATGTCCACTTTGTCACCAGAGTGGATTCAAGCCATCTGAGCCCAGTTATTCCAGGCAGTGTTCCCAGCAATTACAGCTGAGGAGGCGGGTGTCCCTCAAGTGCCCTTGAGTAGACCTGGCCCAGATAAGTGGCCAACAAGAGCCCACATCACATCTATACCCTTTAGTTGTTCTCACGTAGCCAGCCTCAGAAACTGCTGATGGTAGGAGGCCAGGGACATCGGTCAGGCCTAGCATACTCAAACAGCCTTGCTTGCTTCTGTCCATAACACCATACAACACTGAGGATATCAAATACACAGGGACCCACTGCCCCAGTGGACAGTTAGCCCCAGGTTACCCTAGCACACTAACTGGAAGACCAGGTTTATTAAGAAACAGTGTTCATGCTTACAGAAGGTGCATTTGGATAGCATCCTAAAAGTTCAGCTCATTGTAAAAGAGTCAAAACTGGAACATTACAGCTCACGTAGTCATTATGCTCCCTGGTTCAGACTTTCAATTGTCTGTTCACTCAGCAGTCTGGGTTCTGGCTTATTTGTCCAGTGACTGACTGTGTAGCAACGAGCAGGTCATTTTTTTCATCCGCTAACCCTCCCTGTACCTGAGGAGATGTGTCCCTGTGTCTTTCATGTAAGGCCTGTGATTCAAGAAGCTGCACGTCCCTGAGAAGCTTTGCCCTCCACTGGAGCCTGTGCTCTTGGGAGTGGGTGTCACAGGTTGGTGACAGCAGCAACATCAGCTGTGAAACAAAGCTCGGCCAACACCCAAGAGAAAGCTTGAGCAAGTGGACAGACTTGCTGGAAGATGGTCCAGTTATGTTACCTCTCCATCCTGCTGTGAGGACCTTGCCCACTAACAGGAGATGAAGGGTTAAGAAAAGGTTCATATCTACCGAAAGTACTTGACCTCAAGAAACCAAAAGTAATGCAGAATGCTTAAAGGAACCAAAGGCATCACCAGGTATTTGCCAAAAGCAGCCACTTTTTATTTAAAAATTGAGACTAATGTGATCTCAAGTCAGTCCCAAAAAGGTATCCATTTACGGTTATAATTTTCAGAGAGATGTAGATATTTCTTGTTTCCTGTAAAATAGTATGGAGCTGTTGTGTTGGTTTAAGAATAACATGCTTACGTGGTAGTCATGCAAAGCTGTTTGTTCTGAATCGAAGTCTAGTTCTCTGTTGCTTGCAGTGGACATGCAGGTGTCTCTCTTTCATCTTCACATAATGTCTTAGCATCTCACTTCCTGAAAACAAAAGGGGGAGCACCAGTGGGCAGCGCCGTTCTTACTGAAGCACTAGTTTCATGAACAGGAAATCATGGCAATCGGGGGTCCATTTGTGTGTTGCCTTTATGTTGTTTTTAAAAGAAAAACCATGATGCCTTTGTATGTGCCGTTTGCACCCCTGACTCGATTCTGTACTGTGTCTGATGCCATACGTTTGCACATGTACTGTACATAGGCAATGCAGACTGTATTTTTATATGTGTGTGCATTTATCATCAGATCTTTTGTACATAGTGGCAGTATTGTAGCTGATCGGGAAATGTTTGATATCTCAGCAATTTTGCATTTTTGTGTCTCAAATAAAAAACATTTTGATGTACCATGGCTTTGTATGTACATAAGAACACACTGTGGGGCAATGGGACCGTTGTAGACCCAACGGATGGTGCGGCCTCCAGGAGGACAGAACAGCTCCCAGCCAGGCAGCAGGTGGGCCAGTGGTATGGCGTGTAGACCCCACAGAAAGTAGGCTGCCACCTCATGTCTTCACAGCACACAATAGAAGCTCATAGGATCTCACTGACCAATAAGACCTCTTCTGTCCTCCAGAGAAAATGGAAGGCACTGAAGTATGTGGTCCTTGCTGCGGTATGGACATAACACTCTACAGTGAGAGCTGGCTCTTCTCTCATGGTGACAAGCACACCATCAACAAAACTTCTAGACACCCAGAACTGAATCCTTCAGCCAAATCTCAAAAGCAGCTACCTATGTAGAAAGTACTTTCTGACCCATATTAAATGCCCTCTAGTAGTAAGTAAATTGTGGGGAGAGGCATTTCAGCCGTGGTTAAGTTGAAGTTAGTTTTATTCTCTTAGCTTAGAAGAAAGCAAACGGTGATAAGAAAGCATAGCTGATAAAACACATGTGTGACGGTCAGAGGAGCCTGGTCCCCAGCTGCAGGAGAAAGCTAGTTAAATTGCGGGTTTTCTGTGCATCTTGGGGGTAACAGAGCCACCAACAGACCAGTGATGGAGCTGTCTTTAGTATCCTCGTATTAGAGACAGGTACGCCTGCCTGTGGGATGGCGCTGCACTAGGGCAGGTGTAAGGAGAGGGAGGCCAGACTCTCTGGGGACCAGCTCTGCTCGACTGTGGGAAGGGATCCACCAAGGAAGTACCCAGAAATTTTAGCTGGGTGGGTAGGAGACCACAGGCTCTCGGACACCTAGCCTGAGGCATTAGAATCTCCCACAGATACCTTTGTTCTTTTCCTTGGTAGTACTGAGCTTTGCAAAGCTTTTCAAATGTTGGACAAAGCCCACTGAGTGTGTGAGGTCCTTGACGCCAAAACTCAGTGATGGCTGCTGATGCGTGCTGGCTGCTGGTGCGTGCTGACTGCTGGTGCGTGCTGGCTGCTCCATTCTGGGCACAGAATGGAGAGAAGGTTCAGCACCATGTGGTTTCATCTAATTCCATAATCCCATGGTTCACCATTCTCTCACCCCTCCTTCAGTAGCAGCTGTCGGTATTGCCTCCTCTTCCTCCTCCCCACTTCTCTCTGCCTTTCTCTCTCTTCTGTCTCTGTGTGTCTCTGCCGCCTACCTCGGCTTTTCTTCCCCCCCCCCCACTTTCCTTCCTCCCATCCCCCCTCCTCAGTCACGAATGGTCACGTGTAATCTGATCCTCCTAAGTTTACCTCAAGGCACCAATGTATGGAATACTGGAGGTGCTAGGCAAGCACCCTACCAGCTGAGCTACATTCCAGCCCTTGTTATCTTGAGTTAGGTTGTCACTAAATTGAGCTAACTGCTCTTGAACTGTATCCGAGGATGGCCTTGAACTTGCAATCTTATCTCAATTCTGCTGGATGCCATTTTTAAAATTCATATGACTCAGAAGCGAGTTGTTATGTCCTAGCTTTCCTGTTCATTTATGTGACAAGAAAATAAGCAAATATGAGAAAATAAATGTCTTGCTGAATTCATCAACTGCTGAAGGCCCCATTTTGAGTATGTATGTCACAGACCCTTCAGTAAGAATCAGTGGACAGTATGATCAGACTGGTTTCATGGAGATCACCAGCCTCTGCCCCCGAGTGCTGAGATCAAAGGTGTGCACCACCACACCCAGCAGGGAGGAACTTTTAATAAAGGTTGGCTACTGAGACTTGATAGGTTTTGTGATGGACCAGCTCAGCCCGGAGCACTGGGACCTATGGGACAGGATCTCAGGAACAGGTGGGTAAGGAGTCGGCAAATGGCAAAATGACATAAGACTTAAAGGAATTGTATTTGAATGTATTTTTATTAGGCATGAGGCTCATCCTTTGAGCAGAAAAGTTGCTTAATAGCATGTATTGTTTCTTTATGTGGTACAGATTATGTTTAGAATTGTTACATAAGATGTATGAGAATAGATTTTGTTAGATGTTTTCGTGTGAGTCTGGTTAGTTATGTTAGACATGGCTTGGCATTGGTTTTGATATAAATTATTATGGCATTTTGAGCTAAGGGCAAGTGGTTGTTGTTAACAGTTTAATGTTTTACATAGTTTATAGTTTTTTTATATTTTGTAATTTATGTAGAAGAACTTTTTTATGTTTAAATTTTTAAATTTTTTTTTTAAATCCAATCTTAAGAAGTTATAGGTGGCCTGTTCTCCTGCAAGCTCAGCAGAACCCTGGAACACAGCTTGCTCCAATATTGAGGGGACTTAAGAGGGGAATCAACAGCCACGGGGCAGGACAACTGGACACCCCACTCTCTGGGAACTCCCCGGTATGACAAAACCCAAGGGCCCCTCCCCAACTCCCTTGGCTTTTCTAGCCAGCCAGCAGGGAGTTTTCCTGCTTTTTCTATGGCTGGGCTATCCCCCTGTGTCTTATTGGAGCACCATGGAGTCAAGTTAGAATTTAACAACAATACCACCCCCAGAAAGCCTACAAATTCATGGAAACTGAACAGTCAACTACTGAAGGAAGAAATAAAGAAAGAAGTTAAAGTCTTCCTTGAATTTAACGAAAATGAAGGTACAACATATCCAAACCTATGGGACACTATGAAAGCCATGTTAAGAGGAAATTTCATAACACTAAGTACCCACTTAAAGAAAACAGAGAAAGTTCACGTTAGCAACTTAACAGCATACCTGAAAGCTCTAGAAAAAAAAAAAAGAGCCAGACTCACCCAGGAGGAGTAGAAGACAGGAAATGATCAAATTGAGGACTGAAATCAACAAAATAGAAACACAGAAAACAATACAAAGAATCAATAAAACAAAGAGCTGGTTCTTTGAGAAAATCAACAGGATTGACAAACCCTTATCCAAACTAATCAAAAGGCAGAGAGAGAACATCCAAATTAACAAAATCAGAAATGAAAAGGGGGACATAACAACAGCCACTGAGGAAATTCAGAGAATCATTAGGTCTTACTACAAAAACCTGTACTCCACATAATTGAAAAATATAAAAGAAATGGACAATTTTTTGATAGATACCATATACCAAAATTAAATCAAGACCAGGTGAGCAATTTAAATAGACCTATAAGCCACGAGGAAATAGAAGCTGTCATCAAAAACTTCCCAACCAAAAGAAAATCCCAGGGCCAGATGGTTTTAGTGCAGAATTATACCAGAGCTTTCAAGAAGAGCTAATACCTATACTCCTCAAAGTGTTCCACATAATAGAAACAGAAGGGTCATTACCAAACTTTTTATGAGGCTACAGTTACCCTGATACCAAAACCACACAAAGACTCAACCAAGAAAGAGAATTACAGACCAATCTCACTCATGAACATGGATGCAAAAATTCTCAATAAAATAGTGGCAAACCAAATCCAAGAACACACCAAAAAAAACATCAACCATGATCAAGTCGGCTTCATACCAGAGATGTAGGGCTGGTTCAACATATGAAAATCTATCAATGTAATCCATCATATAATAAGCTGAAAGAAAAAAAAACATATGATCATTTCGTTAGGTGCTGAAAAAGCATTTGACAAAATCCAACACCCCTTCATGATAAATGTCTTGGAGAAATTAGAGATTCAAGGATTATATCTAAATATAATAAAAGCAATACACAGTAAGCTGACAGCTAACATCAAATTAAATGGAGAGAAACTCAAAGTGATTCCACTAAAATCAGGAATAAGACAAGGCTGTCCACTCTCTCCATATCTCTTCAACATAATTCTTGAAGTTTTAGCTATAGCAATAAGACAACATAAAGAGATCAAAGGGATTCAAATTGGAACGGAAGAAGTCAAACTGTCATTATTTGCAGATGATATGATAGTGTACATAAGTGACCCCAAAAATTCTACCAAAGAACTTCTACATCTGAAAAAGACCTTCAGTGATGTGGCAGGATACAAGATCCACTCAAAAAAATTAGTAACCCTCCTACACACAAAGGATAAAGCTAAGAGGGAAATTAGAGACACATCACCTTTCAACAATAGCCGCAAATAACATAAAATATCTTGGGGTAACACTAACCAAGGAATTGAAAGACCTATTTGACAAGAACTTTAAGTCTTTGAAGAAAAAATTGAAGAAGATATCAGAAAATGGAAAGATCTCCAAAACTTTTGGATAGGAAGGATCAACATAGTAAAAATGGCAATATATGGCCTACCATAAGCAATCTATAGATTCAATGCAATGCCCATCAAAATCCCAACACAATTCTTCACAAACCTAAAAAGAACAATAGTCAACTTCATATGGAAAAACAAAAAACGCAGGATAGCCAAAACAAACCATTACAATAAAGGAACTTCCAGAGGCATTACCATCCCTGACATCAAGCTCTATTACAGAGCTACAGTAATCAAGACAGCTTGGTATTGGCATAAAAACAGAGATGTTGACCAATGGGATTGAATTGAAGACCTGGATATTAATCCACACACCTATGAACACCTGATTTTTGACAAAGAAGGCAAAATTATACAATGGAAAAAAGAAAGCATCTTCAACAAATGGTGCTGGCATAACTGGATGTCAACCTGTAAAAGAATGAAAATATATCCATATCTGTCGCCATGCACAAAACGCAAGTCCAAATGGATTAAAGACCTCAATATAAATCAGATCACACTGAACCTAATAGAAGAGAAAGTTGGAAGTAGCCTTCAATGCATGGGCACAGGAGACCCTAAATATAACCCTAGTAGCATAGACAATAAGAGCAACAATAAATAACTAAGTGGGACCTCCTGAAACTGAGAAGCTTCTATAAAGGAAAGAACACAGTCAATAAGATAAAAAGGCAGCCTACTGAATGGGAAAAAGATCTTCACCAAGCCCACATCAGACAAAGGACTAATCTCCAAAATATATAAAGAACTCAAGAAATTAGACA